CAGGCACGCGGGCGAGGGCAAAAAGAGGCGGCAGCCCGGACGGCCCGATCTGATTTTCCCGCCGCGGCGCGGGGAACGGGCCGCGCGGAGGAACAAAGCGCGTAGCTCCTCCTCCCTGCCTCGCGCGCGCCCCCTGGCGGCGGCTCCGGGGCGGGCCCTCTCGAGGCCCTTCCTGTGCTTCACCCCCGGAAAGTGGCCGGGAGGGGGCGTGACCACCGAGGTCAGTGCTGCACCCCAGACCCTGACGCAGCACCTGGCACGGTGCTCAACAACCAGCGCTCTGCAAAAAACCCATGTTTGTAGGTAGAAAGTTTGTTACAATAAATATGACCGGCATAAAGGGTGGATAGCCCACAATTTACAAACAGTGAAACGCAGTGCTTTTTTTTTTTTTTTTTTGTAGTTTTAACGGGATGTTTATGGGAATTCCAGAACTGGTAATTTGCTGCTTTATCCAACTGAGCTAACAGGCCACCCCTCATTTGCTGCTTTATTTTGAGAATAGCTTTATCTACAAGTAGCCGATGCTGTAAGTGGTAATTCAAGGGATCACAATCAGATTTCCAGTAAACTCCATTTTTCTGCCATTCCAAAATTTTCTTTTAAAATGATTTTTGATAACTTTAAGGCAGTCTGCTTCTGTGCTGTATATCTACTTAAATATGATAAGCCTGAAGAAAACAAAGGATGGTGATAACTGTCTTATGGATGATATTATCTGAGATCCCAAAGCAAAAAGCCCCATCCCAGAAAATCTAGAAGCTTGTTTCTTCTCAGGCACTTTTTACATGAATGAGTCCAGATTGGATTTTTGGAACATTTTTTGTTTAGTGCCACTACACACCCAGCCCAGTGCCGGGTCCCTCCACATTGTCTTGGAGACGCAGGGTCTAGGATAGATGAAGACTTCTTGGTTAATTCTAGGTGTCAGCTTGATTAGATTAAGAAATACCTAGAAACCTGGTAAAGCAATCATTTGGGGTATGTCTGTGAGGGTGTTTCCAGAAGAGATTACCATTCAAGCATGAGTAGAATAAACAGGAAAGGCCCACCCTCAATATGGGTGCGCACCATGCAGTCCGCTGGGAACCCAGAGAGAACAAAAACGGATGGAAGATGAATCTGTCTCCTGGAGCTGGAATACGCTGCTGTCGTGTCGGTGGACATCAGAACTCAGGACTCTGCAGCTTTTGGGTTCTAGGACTTACACCTGCAGCACTGTTAACTCCTCTGGTTCTGAGGCTTTTGGACTAGGCCTGAGCCACGCTACCAGCATCCAGTTGTAGACGGGCAATTGTGGGATTCCTCAGCCTTCACAATCATGTGAGCCAATTCCCCTAATAAATCCCATCTCTTATATGTAGGTATATATCCTGTTCGTTCTCTCTGGAGAACCCTAATGCAAGCTTGTACTCTGTTCTTGGAGAGTTACAGTCTTTTAGGTAATTCTCAGTCTAGGGAAACCCAGTCTGGAGAGCTTTGGTCACACTGTAACTGAATCATCACTCAAAAATATATGAAGGGCATCATTTGTCTCCTATGGTATAAGTCATCTTGCCTGAGACTCCATTCATGCCACTAGGAGGGTCCTGCTCTTCAGTGGATTCAGTAGTATTCTGTCACTTACATGTCACACTCAGACTCCACTCATTGTCTTCTTGCCTCAGGGCCTTTGCACAAGCCATACCCTGTGCCCAGAACACTCTTTCCCTAAGTGCTCCCCCCCCTGCCCAGTGTCCTCTCCTGCACCTTCTACTCATCCTGTCGGTCTCTACATATTTGTCACTTTCTCTGTATATTACCTGCCTAGTACCACAGATGGGCTGGCTTAACCAACAGAAATGTGTCCTCTCACTGTTCTGGAGGCAGAAGTGCAAAATCAAGGTGTTGGCAGAACTGGTTCCTTCTCTAGGCTCTAGGGGAGGATCCTTCCTTGCCTGTTCCAGCTTCTGGTGGCTGCCGGCAATCCTTGGTGTCCCTGGATTTGTGACCACATCCCTCCAGTCTCTGCCTCCGTTGTCACATGGTGTTTCTCGCTGTGTTCCTCTCTGTATCTGTGCCAAACGTCATACTCTTTATCGTAAACTTCATATGTATATAACTTAGGCATGCCTTGAAAAATCTACCATCATTTTAATAATTCTTTTCTGTTTTTCTTTTTATTTTGGCAGCTTGCTGATAATAGGGATCCAAACCCTTGATCTTGGTGTTATCAGCACCACCCTCTCCCAACATCAGTCTTTTGTGGCTTCACTCATACTTTGATGACATGAGCAAGGGACTTCTTTGATGAATTAAATAATAGTATTCATATACTACGAGAATATTTCCTCAGTTTTTCGTGCTATTCAGAATGTAAAGGCTACAGACATGGTACACTTTCGAGTTTAATCAGCATCATTAACATTTTCTCCATCACTTTCTTAAGTAGACAGTCAACAAATCAAACCCCGATTTGTAGCGCTTGCCCATTTCCATGGTGTCAATACTCCCACCATTGTTGATTTCAAGCTGCCAATATGAGGTCACTGAACTCAGAACTGGGAAGAGGTGCTGCATGGCACATCCACCCCAGGTGCAGTAGATGTAGATAATGTCAGGAGCATAGGTAACAGGTATGTTACTACATTTTACATTTTCCTAATGTGTGATGAGTTTTAATAATGGCTGTTTGTCTCTGGTTTTCAATATTCCTGAAAATTTAGAAATCAGCTCCCACCAACCTGTAGGAACTGCCTGTAGTACCCGAAGGGGTAGGAATGTGTGATTCCTCTCCTCCGCATCGTAAGGACCAAGATCAATACTCCTATAACAAAAGACAGGTTAACAAGAGAAAAGCATAACAAATGTTTTTAATCAAAGTTTTATGTGACATGGGACTCTTCAGGAATGAAGACCCAAAGACCCAGGGAGAATAGTCCATGTTTATGCTTATGTTCAATGGAGAATGGACAGCCCTGTAAAAATGTGATTGGAGAAAGGAGCATGATCTAATGGTAATGGACTGAGGGGGAAATCCAGCGAGGCCCGTCTGCAGCATCCCTCCTCCTGGGTAGAGGGCAGGGCTCCTGTGTCACGAGGGTCATATGACCTACTATCAGACAAGGCCAGTCAGAGAACTTCTTTATGGCCACTTCCTACACAGAAAGGCAGGGGAATGTTAGAGTAGTAGTTCTAGGTTTTATGACTTGCTTTGGGGAAGAAGCATTCTAGCTTCTTTTTTTTTTTTTTTTTTTTTTTTTTTTTAAAGATGACCGGTAAGGGGATCTAAACCTTTGACTTGGTGTTGTCAGCACCACGCTCTCCCAAGTGAGCTAACCGGCCATCCCTATATAGGGATCCGAACCCATGGCCTTGGTGTTATTAGCACCACACTCTCCCGAGTGAGCCATGGGCCGGCCCTAGCATTCTAGCTTCTCTGGAGGAATTCTGGTTTGTATGACTGGATTCAGGGGTGGGCGACAGGAAGACAGGAGAAGGTCAGACACATTTGCTTCTGAAGCCTTCCAATCTCCTTTAGTTCGAAGTACTCATCATGCCAAAGCACCATACTTTAGGGTATTGTTTTCTGAGCCCCAGCACATACCACTGGCCTGCACATAGTAAAGACTTGTAAAATACTAATTCAAAGTTGAAAAAACACACTATATTGAAATTAGTTATTAAAGACATGAGTGTCTACCTGACTTAACAGTGAATTCCAGTGAGAGCCCACATGCCTGGCACACCACGGGTGCTTACTAAATGTTCGCATCTCAGCAGCGTCTCAGTGAGCAGGCAACAGAGCAGAGGCTCCTTAATAACAGGCAGACTAGGCACCACCAGCAAAGAAGAGGCCCCCAGTATTTTTAAAAGAGATTTGACTTTACTATATATTTTCTAAAGTCTCATTGCAGTCATCAGAGGGAAAATAGTATTTTTGGACCTCCCAACACTGATTTTAAGGTTAAGTGTTGTGTGTTTTGAGTTACGCGTGGGGTGGAGCTGTATATGCGAAGCTTTTCACGCTGAGAGCCTCAGAGGCCTTAATCCATCCCAGTTTTCCCCATGTTCCCAAACTGCTCCCCTCATGTTAAATCATCTGCCTTTCTTGACAAATGTGAAACTACCTATGGAAGGAAGGATGCTCAGTATTGATATTTATTGGGGCTCGATCAGAAGAACGTACAAACTATCTCCCCCTCACTACCTCAGTGAGAAAGTCAGGGGTAGAGGGAAGAGTGAGAAATTGAGGCCGAAGAACCACACAAGGATTGCCTTTCATGACCCCTCACCAGGCAGCTGCCCGCCTCTCAGCTGAATCCCTAAGTGGGGTTGCTGAGGAGGCAGAGATTATTAGGGGCAGATTATTTGCATAACCTAGGATTTTATTCTTCAAAATAATCTAGAAGGGCCAGCCCGTGGCTCACTCGGGAGAGTGTGGTGCTGATAACAACAAGTCAAGGGTTAAGATCCCCTTACTGGTAAAAAATAATAATATTCTATGAAGGATTCTTGGAAACACTAAGCTCTAACATTTAAATTAACAGTGTATAGAATGATGTCCTCTATGAGACCAGTGTGGTCTTATTGCAGATGAGTATGTACAGAATAATTTCATTT